CCACGCGCAGTTGTACGCTGCGTGGAGGGCCCACGGGAGGTGACCGTGCACCAGCTGATAGCGCAGCGCCACGCCGAACGCTACCGTCGTCGACAAAAAGGTGAGCACCGCCGTCGCCGCAAAGTCGGCGTGGGCGGGCTTGTTGTACACATATGCGGCGGCAAAGCGGCGGAGGGCGGCCGAGCGGTCGAGCCGGTCGTAGAGCGGCCGCAGGACGTGCTTCAGGCCAAGGTGGTACGCCTGCCCCATCCCAAAGATTGGCACGGCCCAGAAGACGAGAAAATTGACCGAGAGGAGCACTCCAAACGCACGCTCCAGCGAATGGCGGCGCGGAGGCGGCGCAGCGGCGGAGGGAGCGGCGGCGGAGGGAGCGGCGGAGGGAGCGGCGGAGGGAGCGGCGGAGACCGCCTTGCCGGCGGGCCGCAGCCGCGCGGCTAAGCACATCGGCGAACGCACCAAGGATCGCGCAGCGGCTTGTGCAAAAGTACTCGACTATTTTTTTGTGAAATTTCTCGACTTTTTTCGCGAGCCACAGGCGCTCGCCCCCTGAGCCACAGCGCCTCCGGACAGCGTGCCGAGCGCCTGCTACAGGCCTGCCTGCAGCCCAGCCGCACTCGCTGCGGCGGCAGCTAGTCGGTTCGGTCTGGACTCGCGCGCGCCGAGATGGGAACCCAACACACGGCGCGTCGACCCGCCTACGCTTTTGCAACAAAGTCTGCTTGGCTTGTGCAGGTGATGCCCAGAGCAGCAGAGACGACGCCGGCAGCCTCGGCTCGACCTCGAAGGCGGATCTCGTGGCCAAAAACCTGTGCTCTATTCGTCGGTGGTTCACAGTAGACGTCTGTGTAGGGAAGCTCTCGCGTCGACTCGGCCGCCGAAGACTGTCTATGAGGGCACACCCGAGGAGGCGCCGATTTCAAGCACCGTGCGGCGGTGGCCAGGTCACAGGCATCGGCTGTGACACTGGAGAGTCGAGCAGCGGCACTGAACTTCCCTACAGGTCATTCCAGCGACCCACGGAGTACGGTCTCAGCGCGCAATCACTCTACTAGATCCCATCCTTGCCGGGCCTCTGCGAATGTAGGTACCGAGTTCATGCGTGGCCAGGTTGCAGGCCCATACTGCCTGGTCTCCAGCCCCTATGATCACCGCGCCAGGCCGCAGTCGACGACTTTTGTGTGCGCTGGCCGCACTCAACCGTTGAGTCGCGGTGTATCAGTCTGACCACACTCGGGACCGCGTAGGCGATGTGGGCGACTCTGGCCGTCCTGCATATGACCGACCATGACCCAGGAGGAGTGTACACGAGACATATCGTACATGGCTGGCGTTCTCGCGGCAGCACTATCGCGTGCGGCCGAGTGCGAGCTTCCGTGCCCGGTGCCAGACGCACTCGGCGCCAGACGTCCTCGGGAGCTCGCAGTTTTGCCATACCTGCCTGCCCTCCCACTGGCTCTGCGCTCCTGGTCCCTACCCTCGTAGGCAAGGCTGAGCGATCCCGAGCTCCAGGGCGCCATCGCCGTGCTCGGCGGCGCCGCCAAGGGCGCGAAAGACGCGCTCACAAAGGACCTAGACGCGCTGCTGCTAAAGAAGCCGGGCACGCTCGTCGCGAGAAGTGGCTGCCGCCGCCGTCGGGAGGGCGGCAGCCACTTCTCGCGCTGCCCAACGCGCCTTCGCCGACCGCCGCGCCATCGCCGATGCCGTTGCTCGCGCTACCGGCGCCACCGGCCGCGCGGGCCGCGCTGGCGGCGCCGCCGCCGGCCGCTGCGGCTCCGCAGAAGCGATCCCTCGCGCAGAATCGCCCTCGGTGCCGCGGCGGGCCGGGGGAGAGGGCGTGAGGGTGTCTGTGGTGGGTAGGGGCCCCTTGCCCATCGGGTCGCTGCGCGCTAGAGCAGCGGCGGCCCGCCTAGGGGGCTCAGGGCGGCCTGCCGGAGGGTGCCCCTAATGTGAAACACCTCCGGGGGAGGCCAACTTTGAGTGGTTGTGCCGAGTACTGTTTAAGGGTTGTGGGGCTGCTGTGGGCGATTTTGGGCGTCCCTGGGGCACCCTCTGGAAGGGTCTGGCCCGTTGGTTCGGGGGGCGTCGCGTCTAGGGGGTGTACCTTCACACCTCAAAAATCGTTTCACGGAAGGTACACCCCTCCCTACGTCAGGCAGAGAAGACGAAACGGTGGCGGGGCCGCGGCCAAAGAAGGCTAGGAGGGGAGGTCGGGCTTGGCCTTTACACGCTTTTCTCTGCAAAGGCTATCTATATTCTTTGCATCATATTCTCCCGTGCGGGGGTGGCAGTGCATTTAATTCTGTCAAAAATCCAAATCTGCTCCGTGGAGCTTATTGGGCTAGGATCATACGTCCGGGAGGCCCCCCATGCGTGCCGTAACGATCGACAGCGATCTGGCTACTCTGTTCACGTTCACACCTCGTACTGGGCTGGGTTTTTAGGCATTGTGGGGTTGGCACTCCCATCGACCCTCATGACCTCCTGCGGTCTCTGAGATGGACACCAGTGGGTGTGAGACCACAGCCAGGATACAACCGAAGGCTGGGTAAGCAGTAGATGTCGATACTCGACGCGTCCCACATGGTCTGTGTCGCTGTCGGCACGCTGTCGACAGGACGTCGAGCGACACTGGTGGCAGTGCCACCCAGGAGTGGTCGGGCGGTCTCCCGTCATGAGAGAGCCACCATGTGATCCGTATGATGGTTCCTGACAACCGCCTCAGTCAACTTTCGTCACAGTTCCCGCTCTGAGAGGAGCTGCGGGTCAGTTCGACAGCTGGAGCTGTGTCGCCGGCGTGCGGGCCAGGGCTACAATAGTGCCAGTGAGGCGAAGGCGCGAGTCGGAAGGCCGCGACCGTGATTTGGTTTCGACACTTTCCTACAATCGCTGTGAACCCAGCCACGTAAACCCCCCATAACCCCGATAGAGGGGGGTAAAGGGTGTGGATGCTGGGTTGAACAAAATCGGGGGACGCGACCCACCTCGCCACAGACGGTCCATGTTTGCGGCACGCCCCGCACCGTCCGCTGTGCCGCGTTTTTTGTCCGGAGTGAAAAGTCCAACACGCTCGTCGGTGGCGGCTTCCCCCAGGCGGCGGAGACGGCGGCGGCGGCGATGGCGGCGGCGGCGATGGCGGCGGTGGCGATGGCGGCGGTGGAGACGGGGGCGGGGGTGAGGGCGGCGGCGGTGACGGGGGAGGGGGCGACGGCGGTGGCGGAGACGGCGGCGGCGGCGATGGCGGTGGAGACGGTGGCGGAGACGGTGGTGGGGGAGACGGTGGTGGGGGCGATGGTGGCGGCGGCGAGGGCGGCGGCGGCGAGGGCGGCGGCGGCGAGGGCGGCGGCGGTGACGGGGGAGGCGGCGAAGGCGGCGGCGGCGGAGACGGTGGCGGCGGCGAGGGTGGTGGAGGAGACGGTGGCGGAAAGCAGCCGCTCACTATGACAGAGGTGCACGTTGTGCCGGTGCCACACCCACTTGTAGGAGTCGGAAGGCAAGGGCTATCGGAACGAAATTCGCACAGCTTGTACTCGCCAGGTGAGTTCGTTGACTTGTAAGAGTTTGTACAATCGTCCGGGTCGCCATTCTGGCCACATCCTCCGCTGTCACTGGTGAAATCATCAGTGCGGCCGGCTATGCTGGCGCAGGTTTGGGCGACAGCAACGGCAGGGAGAAGCGCCAGGAAGGCGGCAAGCCTGCTGCGTAGCATCGCAGCGCTCACTGACGCTCGTACCTATGCACAAGCTCAGAGCATATGAAGGCTGCTGAGCAGAGAGGCGGAGGCGGGGCAGGTGCTGCGTCGTCAAGCAAGGTGGCGCGGCCCGTGTGCAGGAGTGCTCTGAGGGAGGAAGGGCTGCCGCGCGCACGCGGACGCCAGATCTCCGGGCTGCGCCCCGCCGGTTCACGCTGTCCGAGGCGCCCCACGGCAAGGGTCAACGCACCACGAAAATCGCCCGACAGAAACGACAAGCTCGGCCAAAGCGCCCGCCCAGTCGTTACTTCGCCGGATTTGGTGCTTGACGGGCACATCGAATCTGCAGGGTGGAATCAAAAGAAGAAGATGCTCGTGCAAACACAATAACGAACCCGCCGGCGAGCCGGAGGGCCGAGACCGGAGGGCCCCGGGGGGGGCCTGGGGTCAGCTGTCGGAGGAGGCGAGAGACGAGCTGACGCGGCCTCTGCGAGTAGAGTCGGGACGGACGGACGAGCCGAGGACGATAGAGAGACCGCGGGGGCGGGCGCGAGTCCTCGACCGAAGAGAGCTGGCCCCACCCCCCGGGGAGGGGCGGCGTGGCGATCGAATGCCTTCGAGTTTGCCTCTCAAGTGGTTTACCTTCCTTACCTACCTACGGCTGACGCTTTATACAGGAACACAGGACCTCAGGAGCCCCCAGGGCGATTCTGACTGTAAAATAGCAAGCAACATCATCACTGATCACAAGCAGCAATCCAACGAAGGCACGTCATCAGGGACAAAACGACCGACATGTTCAGAGCACATGCACACGACCACACAACAACTCAGAGAGTGCACAGGCTGCCGCCAGCTCGTCAAGATCGCACCGCGGGCGAGAACAGGCCATGCCAGACGACAACCAATGGGTGGGGACAGAGTACCGCGGGGGGGCTCCCGCGCGCGTAATGTGCTGCTGGGGAGAGAGAAGCCGCGCCGTCCCAGGGCTGCGCCTCCCCCCCCCCCCCCCCCAAAAGCCCGGCGC